GGGTGGAGAGGGAGGTGGGAGGGGGGACCGGGATGGGGAATACATGTAAATCCATGGCTAATTCATTTCAATGTATGACAAAAACCACTGCAATGATGTAAAGTAATTAACCTCCAACTAATAAAAATAAATGGAAAAAAAAAAAGAGGTAGCAAGAATACACAGAAGAACTATACAAAAAAGATCTTAACGACCCAGATAATCATGATGGTGTGATCACTCACCTAGAGCCAGACATCCTGGAATGTGAAGTCAAGTGGGCCTTAGGATGCATCACTACAGACAAAGCTAGTGGAGGTGATGGAATTCCAGTTGAGCTATTTCAAATCCTCAAAGATGATGCTGTGAAAGTGCTGCACTCAATATGCCAGCAAATTTGGAAAACTCAACAGTAGCCACAGGACTGGAAAAGGTCAGTTTTCATTCCAGTCCTAAGGCAATGACAGAGAATGCTTAAACTGCCACACAATTGCACTCATCTCACACAGCAGCAAAGTAATGCTCAAAATTCTCCAAGCCAAGCTTCAACAATATGTGAACCATGTTCCAGATGTTCAAGCTGGTTTTAGAAAAGGTAGAGGAACCAGAGATCAAATTGCCAACATCTATTGTATCATCTAAGTAGCAAGAGAGTTCCATAAAAACATCTATTTCTGCTTTATTGACCATGCCAAAGCCTTTGACTGTGTGGATCACCACAAACTGTGGAGAATTCTGGAAGAGATTAGAATACCAGACCACCTTATCTGCCTCTTGAGAAATCTGTATGCAGGTCAGGGAGCAACAGTGAAAGCTGGACATGGAACAACAGACTGGCTCTAAATAGGAAAAGGAGTACGTCAAGGCTGTATATTGTCACCCTGCTTATTTAACTCATATGCAGAGTACATCATGAGAAACGCTCGGCTGAATGAAGCATAAGCTGGACTCAAGATTGCCAGGAAAAATTATCAACAACCTCAGATATGCAGATGAAACCACCCTTATGGCAGAAAGCGAAGAACTAAAGAGCCTCTTGATGAAAGTGAAAGAGGAGAGTGAAAAAGTTGGCTTAAAGCTCAACATTCAGGAAACTAAGATTATGGCATCCGGTCCCATCACTTCAGGGCAAATAGATGGGGAAACGGTGAAAATAGTGGCAGACTTTATCTTTTTGGGCTCCAAAATCACTGCAGATGGTGACTGCAGCCCTGAAATTAAAAGATGCTTGCTCCTTGGAAGGAAAGTTATGGCCAACCTAAACAGCATATTAAAAAGCAGAGACATTACTTTGCCAACAAAGGTCTGTCTAGTCAAGGCTATGGTTTTTCCAGTAGTCATGTATGGATGTGAGAGTTGGACTATAAAGAAAGCTGAGCGCTGAAGAATTGATGCTTTTGAACTATGGTGTTGGAGAAGACCCAAGAGTCCCTTGGACTGCAAGGAGATCCAACCAGTCCGTCCTAAAGGAAATCAGTCCTGAATATTCATTGGAAATACTGATGTTGAAGCTGAAACTCCAATACTTTGGCCACCTGATGTGAAGAGCTGGCTCATAGGAAAAGACCCTGATGCTGGGAAAGATTGAAGGTGGGAGGAGAAGGGGATGGCAGAGGATGAGATGGTTGGATGGCATCACTGACTCAATGGACATGAGTTTGAGTAAACTCTGGGAGTTGGTGATGGACAGGGAGGCCTGGCGTGCTGCAGTCCATAGGGTCTCAAAGAGTTGGACATGACTGAGTGACTGAACTGAACTGAACTTTGCTGTGACTGGGATGCTACCTATCTTTGCGAGGTTCTGGCAAGATCTCTCTATTTTGTGTTTCCCCAGCAGTGTTCCATCAGGTGTTAATAGATGTCCCCCTCCCAATTGCTACTGGTAAATGAATTTGGTGAAGCACAGATTTACAAAGTTAAATCGTTGTTTTTAAAAATAGGACTCCTCGGAAATTTTAATGTGCTAATGGACATTTTACATCTCTAAACAAGGATATAGTATGTGTTCCCCAGACTTACTTGGCCATTGAACCCTTTATTTGCACAGTATCTATTAACATTTTTTTTTCTGTTAACGTTTTTTGAAGAATAGAATTTGAGAAATGCTATTCTTGGTACTCTATATTTCATCTTTGGCCTTTAATTTTGAAAGGGAGAATAAGATATAAAACAGTTTTATTTCATTATGGGGCTTTTAACATCATTTTCCCTTTATGCTTTATTAAGGTTCAGAGTGAGATATAGATGTGGGAAGAATAGTAATTATGAAAGAGGTATGTGGGCCGGCCATGTGAACTGTGTGACTTGTAATCAGTTTTTCTACCCTAAATTTTATGTTCACTCACCATGGGTATACAGTTTTCTTTTTTGTTTATTTGGAGAGCCTCGGAATTAGACAGCCAGAAGTTAGGAGGGTAGAAATCTATTAATAAGAAGGATCATCAGGCATCCTTCAAGATATTTATAATTTGTGTGATTATTTACAAAAGATTGGAAAATTATAGCTAAGCAATTAGTCCAGTATGAGATAATAAGAATTGTTGACTCTGTGGCTCATTTTATTGTTTTAGAAGACTTTGGTTGTAACTTCTGTTTAAGACAATGTATTATTATATCGGGTGATTTTAGAGCTAACAATCCAGGTTTTATGACTTTTAAGAAATGATTTTAATGAAAGTGATTTTGTATGTGTTAAATATGTTCATTAGATCTTTAATAAAAACAGTTAAAGTATGCAGTTAACATCTATGCAGTCACTTGCCTTCTACCAGTAACAGGTGCTTTACATGTATTATCTTATTGAATCTTCACACTCAGTTGTGTCTAGGGCAGAGTAAAGTAGTAAGAGGGAAAGTAGTAGGAAATAAGGTTGTAGCAATAGAATGCAGGCCAATTCATATAGAACCTTGTAAATCAGAATCAGGATTTTGGAAAACTGTCAGCATTTTAAGCAGGTGAAAGATCTGCCATGTTTTAAGATCATTGACTGCTGGGAGGAGAATAGACCATAGGGAAGAAAGAACATGAAAGGGAGAACAAAGGAGGTTATTATTAGTCAAGGTGAGTGTTTTGGATAAGTATGGTAGTAGTGGTTGGAGGTAGTAAGTAGTAAGAAATACTATGACAGTTTTTGAAGATAGAGCTGACAGGTTTTAATAATGGGTTAGATATGGAATGTGAGAGAGAGTGACCAAGTTTTTTGTCCTAAGCAGCTCCAAGAATGGAATTTTCATCTATTGTCATGTGATGAAGATTGAGGAGTATGTGTATTTTGGAGCACAGGAAGGGAGGAAGGAAATCTGAAATTCTATTTTGTCCATGTTGGTTTAAAATGCATACAAGTATTGATGTCAAGTGGTCTTTCCAGGTGCCACTAGTGGTAAAGAACCTGCCTGCCAGTGCAGGAGATATGTGAGACCTGGGTTCAGTCCCTTTGTTGAGAAGATCCTCTCTACATGGCATGGCAACCCACTCCAGTATTCTTGCCTGGAGAATCCCCATGGACAGAGAAGCCTGGCAGGTTACAGTCCATGGGGTCACAAAGAGTCGGACACAACTGAAGCAACTTAGCACACACCCACACACAGTGATGTCAAGTAGGCAGTTGGATGCGAGATATTTAAAGCCATGAAATGAGATAACCTAAGGAGTGATTATAGATAGAGAAAAGGTTTCTGGGTACTGAATTCTGGCGAACTTTTTTCTGTCATTGTAACTTGGTATCTGTTTCTTGCCCAAGTTTTCTCTTTTTCTTCCTCCTCTTTCAGCGTATATGAGTGAATTAAAATTGCCCATATCTCCAATATAATCTAATGTATCACAACTCTTAAATAGTCTTAATTTGTACCTAAAATAGTAATGCAAACATATTTATATATTGCTTTGAACTTTCTAAAGAACTTTATGAAATATCTGATGTGCCAGTAATTGCTAGGTACTTCTCAGTGTATTATCTGTTTGAATTTTGTGGATGATTGATTGTGTAAATGGAAGTAGTGATGTATCTGGCAGATCATAAATTAAGAGAAACCATTCTTCTGAGTTTATATGTTGCTTCAGTTTATATATATGTATACACACACATACATACTTTTTAAATTAATGAGAGCATAAAGGTAAAGATTTAATTGATATGTGTAGTAGAAAGAACATTGGATCAGGTGTCAGGCCTTGTCACTGAATAGCTATAGGGAAGGATTTAGATTTTTCTTGGGTCCTGTTTCCCATCTGTGGAAAAATAATAGGATTAAATTTGAGGAGGAATTCAGTCAAGGGGTCTCAGACAGTATGTAGATTGGGAATAGTTATTTGGATTTATACCTCTATATCCACACTATTCAATGCTGTAGCCTCTAGCCATATGTAGCTATTTAAACTTAAATTATTTAAAATTTGGTTGCTCAGTTGCACTTGGCACATTTCAAGTGCTCAATAACTACATATGTCTAGTTGCTACTGTTTGAACAATGCAGCTCAATTACATTTCATCATTGAAGAAAGTTTTATTAGACAGCACTGCTTTATACAACCATTGTTGTAACAGGTTTCTTTGAAATATGTAGTTAGATATTTGAACTTAGTTTTCCATCTTGCCAACCAACTGGAAATAGCAAAAATTAAGAATAATTTATTCTTTCTTGGGATAAAAATGCATGTAGTTCATTTTCACAGTATCGTGTGTCTAAGTACTTTAAAATTATAACCAGAAAGTGCTTTCATAGCACTATTAAGAAAACTTTCATTCGAATCTATCGATGGCACCTTTCATGTTCAATTTCTGTATAGAAACAAATGTTTTTGAAAACTAAATGCTAATAATTAAAAAAATAATAATATTTTGCTATTATGTGTGATAGGAGATGTAAAATACTAGTTTGAAAATTATTTAGTATCATTAAAATTAAAGTGGCTTCAGGATGCAGGATTTGTGGTTGTAGAAACTATTTTTCTCCCCTCTTTCTGGTTCCTAAACAGAAAAAGGGAATACATCGTTGTACAAAATGCAGACTGCAATTTTTAACATGCAAAGAGAAAATGGATCACAAGACTCAGCATCATCGGACATTTATAAAACCTAAACAACTAGAAGGATTGCCTCCTGGAACAAAAGTGAGTTCAAATATGTTGTATTTTAACATTTTATATGATAATAGACATTAACTTCTACCTGGTTTTATTTGTTGGATATAATACCTTAAAATGATTTGTGATTTAATTAAGACTTTAATTTTAAATTTCACCATTCCTATGTTTAGGGAAAAAGTGCCTAACCATTGCTTTTTGGTCAGTAGTGTGTGAAAGTCTAGAGTGGTATTCCTTTATAAAAAGTGTAACTAGATTAACTATTCTGGAGGCAGTGGGTTGTATCATTGTTACATAGGCTATTTTTGAGCTATTCCTGTTGGCAGTGTATTTGTCGTTTTTATCTGTTGAACTGCAAGATGCTTGAGGTTAGGAATCATGTTTTATTTATCTTTGTATCCTCAGCATCTGGTATAGGGCCTGTTTAATGCTGTAGGTTCTCAGGTGTTTATTGAAGGTATTACTGAGTCTACTCTTAGAGAAGCAAGTTCTGCTGCTGGATAGCATTATGTTTTAAGTGAGCCAACACATGTCTGACTGCATACTGATGATTGTAATTTACTTTTCCCTTTTTGCCTTATATACCTCTGTTTTCTCTGACTTCTTTATATACAGTCAGCTCTTGAATATTTGCTCCAGTGGAGGGAAACAGAGGCATGGATAATCCAAAGTGAAATAATCCCCAAAACATTTATATTTGGCTTTGGGTACTTACCTTTGAATGTGGGTATGTCTGTTATTTGAATTAACTATAACAATATAAAGCCATGCTCTGAAGACCTAGAGCAAGAGAAGCTATCCAGCATCCTTCCCTGCAGTCCATTCATTCCATGCTTGGGACTAGACATGCAAAACACTAATGTAAGCAGTGCAGCCCTCTCATTTTCCCTTAATAATAATAATAATAATAATGATACTAAATGTTTTATAGCACCTTAGAATTAGGCTTTTGGTATACTTTTTCATATATTCTATTATTTAATCCATGCAGTAATCCAGTGAAGTAGACAAGGCAGATATTGTCCCTTATAGATAAAGAAGCTTAGAGAGGGTAAGTAACTTAATCAGGGTCACATGGCTAGGAAGAAATAGTTAGCATTAACCTCAAGTCTTTCATTCCTAGTCCAATGCCTTTGTATGATGCCAAAGCACATGTTTTTCATGTTATTTCCTCATAGGCTGTTTCTCAAATACATGGGGTGTGTATAGTCAAATGGTTAGTATTGGTAGGCAATTGTGTTTTCCATTGTCCACCAGCAAATATAATTTCTGAATACCTAATGATAAGTCTTGTATTAGCTCCCTTTAAGGAAATTCTCAGTATTATTAAACTCTCCATGCAGTGTAATGAATTTATATAACCCCTCTCATAATCTTTGTAAACATACATCCTGCCCAATGAGTCCCTGAAAAGAAGAAATCATGTTTAGTGTAGATTTGCTTGTTTTATAGTTGTTGAAGGGTGATGCAGTCCTTTCTAGATTTTCAGATTTAAGTTTTGACCTTTGTATTTGTAAATTTCTAACGTTAAATCAGAGCATAGAAATAGCTAGGGAATGCACTCTTTTAATATTCATATAATTTGCTTTAACTGCTAATTATCCATTAATAACTTAACATATAACTGATATCAGTACAAAAATGTAAGATTACAAGTGAGTAAATATCAAGTTTAATTTCATTTAATTGGTATGAACATTTAAAATAAATGAAAGACTTATCCAGTTATAGTTTATACTTGCCCTTTCCAAATACTTGATGTTTAACTTTTTGTTATGCAGTGATATTTTAACAGTAAGGTAATGATTAATATTCTAAAGTAGATATTATCTTCATTTTTGTAGGTTACTATTCGAGCTTCAGTTGGACCTCTTCAATCAGGATCTTCAACCACACCTTCCATTAGTGCAAGCACTTCTACCCTTCAGCTCTCACCTCCAAGGACTAAAAATATAACTGCTAAAAGTCCCACAAAATCTAACACAAGTAAACCTAATATAACTAAATCCATTGCAAGTAAGCCTAATGCAAGTAAGCCTAATGGAAATAAACCTAAATACAAATCAAAAATATCTAATCTGCAAAAGAAACAAAGCACATTGGCTAGTAGCAATAAAAAAAGTAAAGTCAATACAGCATTGAGGAATTTAAGGTAAACTTTTATTCTTGATACTCAATACTAATTTAATCTTAATCAGTAACTGAGCATGCACATAATAAAAATTTTATTTAATATAAATTTACCCTATTACACAACTCTCTTGTACATTTATATGCTGTCACTTAATGCCAACAAATAACAAAAAATGTTTTTATAACTATTGAACAGTGCTCTGATTACTATCTTTTTATATTCATTATAAAAAATTATAGTATTTTTACTATATAAAAATAAAATATTTTTAATGTGCTTTCAACATAAAATACTGGGGTTTTATGTTGTGCTTATATCTTGTGATCTTTGAATGGTTAATTTAATCCCTTTTATTCTAGTAAGAAACATTAGCTGATACTATATTGTTTATACGTATTCTAGCTGTTATTCTGTAGCAGATTTTTCAAATTCTAAATCCCTGTTTGAAGTTGTTAAACACCTTAGCTTTAATTAACAGACCGTTAATAAGGCTCTCCTTTATTAATTTTGTTTTAAAATATATTTTTATCATTTTCTTTGTATCTCTATAAGGTATCGTCGGGGAGTTCACAAGTGCATTGAGTGTTATTCTGAAGTAAAAGATTTTGCAAACCACTTTCCTACCTATGTCCACTGTAGTTTTTGCAGATACAACACTAGCTGTAGCAAATCCTATGTGAATCATATGATGAGGTAAGATGAGTTAAACATCTATAATTGCCAATTAAAATTACAGTTTAGCAAGTTTGTTCTTGAAAACAGTTACCCAAGTATAAGTCAGTTTTGTTCTTTGAGAAACAATTAGAGAACTTCTAAGATGATTCATGGTACTATTTTTCAGCATAGTAATTCATAAAGTTCCTGGAAACTTGAATTGTAAGAACAGTTAGACTAATGAAATTGAGATAGATTTGTTAGGGAAAATAGTTTTCCTGTGAGAATTTTTTATCCTATAGAACTTTAAAATGCGGTTACTTCCAAAGACAGAAAAGTAATGTCACATGGTAAAGAATAAAGAGTTGGATACAATTGAGTGACTATCACTTTCACTTTTCACTTCCTCATGAAGCATACATGTAATCTCATGCCGTCACTTTGTGATTCCAGGATTTTCAGTGATCTTAGATATTTTATTGGATCTTGTTTCTCTTTCTTTCTCTGTTTTTCTCTGTAATCCTTTCTGTCTGTCTGTCCATCCATCCATCAGGCCATCCATCCTTGCATTCATTCAGTGAAATGAGAGACTATTTCATTGTTGCTGCTGTTGGAATTATTTTTCATTAATTCATTCAGTTTAGATAAGTATTTAGTCCATGCAGAGAAAACTTTCACAGCCTATGTTATCTTCATTGATATCATATTAGTTGAGGTATCCTTCAGGATGGATTTTTATTTTTAAAAAAAAGTCAAAAATTGTTCCAATATAAGCCAGTTAGATTGATTATTCACAGTGAAGTTTTACTTTTTTTTTTTCCCCAAAAGTTAGAATTAGAATATAACCAACAAAAGTGATTTTTATACAGATCACAACATGACCTTTGTGTTACTTTCAGGTCATAATCAACTGCTCCTTTAAAAGGACTCTTCCGTGTTTCTTGGTGGCTTTAGCACCTCTCTCATGGTTTTTTAACCCCCTTGATAACTAACCTGACTTCATGGTCCCTGACTTCTTCAGTGCCAATGCTTTATATCAGCTTTAAAGTTGTTGTGCTCCCTTTCTTAGCACAATACTATTTTAATCTTATATATGGTTCATTTCTTTTGAATTCCCATTTCCCCATGACTTTCTGGGCTTTGAAGTCCTTTTTCTGGTCCAGTAGCACTCATCTAACTTTATAGTCATCCTTACCCTCAGGGTCATCTGTTTTGACTGTTGCTTTGTTTTTGTTCTAGAATCTTTTACACATTTAGTCTTGCTCACCTGGCTTAAAGGCCAAAGACTTGAACATCATCTTCTACTGAACTTTATGCTCAATTCTAAACTACCAAACAGTGCTTGATTCAGATCAACTCTGATTCATGATCTTTAACTTGAGTTGGGACCTGTCTTTTATTTTTAAAAATAAGGAGTATATTTTTTTATTCTTATCTGTAGTATCTTATTAACATTTTATTCTAAATTCTCTTAGTTGTCACCCTGGCCTACTATAATTACTCAGTTGGAGTCCATCCTTTTAATTAATCTTTTCAGTCTCAAGTATTTTTCCTGTTACTTTCATCCAGGCATTGATCTCAGAAATCACACATGCTCCCCTTCGCAGTTAACCCTGCCCCTTATCTCCTTTAGTTCTTCCACAGCTTCTTTCAGTTAATTTACAACTTCGTCTCTATCTGTCAGGTTCCTTTTCCTTACAAATGATTTCAAGTATTTTTTTTAAGATGAGGGATATTCATCCGTATTGCTTACCTACCTTATTTCTTATTACCATGAACATTTGTAAAAAGTATTTGTTACTAGCATTTTCATGATTCATTTCTTTACCTTTTGAATGTCATCTTCACCTAACACTGCCCCTTTAAAGATTATCTGTCAAGTATTTATCTCTGTATTCATTTTTTTCACTCTTATCACTCTGTGAATTCTTTAGAGTCATTGTTGTCACTCACTTTTGAAGCTATTCTCTTCAGCTTTTGTTTAATTATTAACACTATTCTTCCTTTTTGCCTACTCCTGTTTCATTGCCTTTTCTTCCTTCATCTCTTCTCACCTCTTTACATTTCCTTTCTTAGGTAACATAATCACTGTCACTTTTACCTTTCAACTTTAAATCTTCCAGTTTCAGTCCTTAGTTTTCCTAACATGTAACTATATTTCTAATTATTATTATAGGTTTTTTTCTTTTTAAACTTGACTCACTAGCATCTAGAAAGAACGTAAATAAACCAAGCGTTGTCATCTTTCCAGAATTGACATGACTACTGTCCAGACACTCTCTCGGCATCATTTGTGTTGATGTGGAATACCAGCTGGAAAAAAATGCACTATCCCAAGTTTCTTAAGCTTGTGTTGTTCTCTTGATCTGCCACTCTGCATCATGGCTTCCTGAGATACCACCTTCTGCTTTCTGCCTCTCTGCCTCCCACCTGCTGCAGTGGACTGCACCTATAATCCATTTCCTCTAAACCAGGCCCCGGCATCCTTTGTTGAGAATACTTCTGTGTGGAAAGTCTTTTGTTCTTTGACCAGTACATTGCCACCCCAGTACAGCTTTAATTCTGCAGTTAGTGTGTAGGGGATCAAGTCAGAAAATATTTTATGTTTTCTTAGGCCAAGGGTCATTCTATTCCTCCCTCTCCCATTTATCATACGTTTCTCATTTGTCTTATAAATCCTCCAAATGCATTCTATTCCAAAACATTCCCAATTAGCCTGTCTCCTTTTATTATGTTTAGTTGTATAATACAACTATTATCTCCTTGAGAAGTAGCACCTTATATTTACCCTGTCACTTAGCACATTATAGACAGCAAGTGAGAGTCATTACTGTAATTATAAAAAAGGCCCTAATAAAATCTCAAAAGAGTGTATTAAAAAAATCTTACACAGTTGGAACATCTTTAAAATAAGACTCTTACAAAGAAGAGCATCATTTAACATTAATTTTCAATGATTTTTTTGAAGTAGCATTATTTAGGTGGCAGTAGAAGTCACCTGAAAAAAATGAATTGCTGTGTGATATTGCTATTCTTCAACATTATGTATGAGAAAGAAGGCTTTTTCTCTACATGTAATAGAATTAAGGTCACAGACAAGTACTTAATATTTTTTTCTGGCAGAGTTTATTTACTATTTACCAAGAAGTATGGTAAACTGGTGGTGAAGAATCTGACAAATCTGGATTTGAAAACAGAACTCACCATTTATTACATGTGTCACTTTGGGCAAGTTACTTAACTGATTCCCATTTTTCTTTTCTTGCAGTAGAAAGTTATTGTCATTATTGGGGAAATGTACTTAAAATGGTTAATAAAAATGATTTGCACTTAGGAGATATTCAAGTAATTATAGGTATTATTTCTAAATTGTCATTAGGTATTGTAGATAAAGTTTTTGCCTTTGATTTTCACAGTTTAATAGGAGAGATATTTTACCTAGCTTAATGTGATAAATAAATGACTGTGTGAGCCCAGAGAAGGTAAGAATGAATTCTTTAAACAAGAAATAAGAAGGTATTGTATAAATGACATTTCATTTACGATTTGAAGGATGATTTAAAAATTTTCCAAGGAAAAAGAAAGCTGGTATAACAGTTTGTTCCTATACAATAAATAAGATTACTGAATTAATTTTTATAAGCTGTGCTTTAGCTCATTATATATTTTGTATAGATTTATTGGCATGAAATAATAGTCATTAGAAGAACAGATAGATTATTGTGATAACTTCATAAATGGTCTCCTGTTCACAATCCACCACTTGGCCCCTTTTCCATGTTTTCCTTTCTTTTGTTAATAACATCTGGTCAAGTCATTTTTTGGCCTGAAATCCTTCACCTATCTAATAAAAATAGGATGAAGTTCAGATTTTCTGGAGAATGTGAGACCTTTTAATATCTAATTCCTAACTACTTTTCCAGTACCTTCAACTCTTACTTGCTTTTCCTGGAGTAAGTCAGTATATAGACCTTCCTAACTGAAATATACTACTGACTGTTAGCTGACTTCTCCATTTACCTTCATCTTTCCCTCATGCAACCATAAAACTTTATATGTATCGCTGTTGATGTTTATCTTGTGGTAATTATATATTTATGCATAGGTACTCACTTGTTGAGCAGATGTTTATTAGGCATTTCTTCTGAGCCAGTTGCTTTTTGACTACCTTCCTCCGCAAACCCTGGAACATGAATTCTAAGGCAGACAACCTGCCTTTCTTGTTGTATCATTAACTTCTAGTCTAGTGTTTTAAATAGTAGGCATACTGTCAATATTGTTGGACATTTAGGAAACTGATCCCTTTTGTATTTCTTTGGAAGTAAAATTTTTACTTATACCAAATCAAGATTGTTAAGAGAAGATGGTCAAAGGGAGTTTTTTTCCCCTTCTAGTCTTATTGAGGTCTAATTTATATACAATAAAATTCACCTATTTTTAGAGAACAGCTTAATGAGTTTTGATAATTATATATAAATATAAACAGGTGGTGAATTGTCAAAACCTAGATTTAAATGTTATATTTAACTGTATTGTAATAAAAATCTTAACCTTTTTTCCCCTTTCTTAGATTATTTACATATTGTTATTAACTTCATGCAGGTCTAGAAGAACGGTAGTTTTTTCTCTCTATTTATGAGCTACAGATTCACTTTTCCATTCCTATAATACCCAAAACTAGAAGAATGAAATTTGTGTAGTAAATATAAAGAGTATAGATTGGGAACTTAAAACTGAATTCAGACAATGAAAATTTTAAAAGTACCAACATTTTAATAAGGTGTAAGTTAGAAATGGAAGCCATCAAAATACCCTAAAATGTAACTTTTTCCTTTCCTCTTACCAAATAAAGAAAGCAGTCTGTTTGAGGAGAAGGAAGAAAGAGCTTCTAAAAGTTACTTTTAAATCTCATTTTAAAAATTAATTTACTTGGTTCATTGGTAATTACATAAAATCTTGGACACACTCCTCTGAGGAAATAGCAGTTGTATGAACACATTTTTGCGTATAATTTCTGTGTTTCCCAATCTCCCTGATGGTCTCTTCCTAAAAATATTATTCAATTATCTTTGTCATATTACATTGAATTTATAAACTCTATGGTAGTAATTATCCCCAGATTGAGAAAATGACTTTTAGAAATCTTCTGAGGATGTTTTCTGGGGATTAAAACTGTCAGAGTATTTCTTTTCCAATACATACATGCTCTGCTTGTGATGATTATTTCTGAGACTGAGAATTAACCTGGTGTGTTGGCTACTTTAGATCTATCATTGCACACTCCAGCTCTTCAGACTTTAGCTTGCATAAGAATTACTGAAAACCTTGTTAAAACAGCTTCCTGGACCTCACTGCCAGAGGTTAATTCAGTAGGTGTGTGTAGGGCATAGACTTTGCCTTTCTAAATAAGCTCCTAGATTATACTGATGTTACTAGTCTATGACTACAGTTTTATATGTGCTAAGTGGTACTCTGCTAAGCTAATCCTGGTTTTCTAGTATAGAAAAACTTTCCTTGTCAGATTTAAAAGAGTATATATAAAGGAAAGCTATTATCATTGGCTGCAAAGCCTGGTTAGGGGTTTTCTGTTCTGTGCTTAGAGGGGGCATTGTTTTAGCTCAAGAGTTCTGCTTTAATTTGTTTTTGTTTTAAAGTCTACTGATAATTGCAAAGAGCTCTCTAAATGCTTGATTTTACAAATGATAAACAGTGGCCTTTAGCTCAAGTATTGTTACTTCCAAGATCATTTGGATTCTTCTCCCCTTCCTCAACACAAACATGTTAAGTTAGAAAAAGATTTTTCTAAATGATTATTATTGGTAACTATTCATGTTATGGGCAAAAACGTTATTAGCAAAAATTTTAAATTGTTTTCAACTCTTTTAATAGTTCAAAAAAAGAATTTCATGTGACTTTTTTCTTATACTTTTGAATATGTGAAGGTGTGATACTGATCAAATGAGAATATGCTTAGTAAAATACATTTCACTGGAAAAATAGATAAATTTATGTTAAAATACTGAATTAAACAGGATTACTTATATCATGATATTTTATTCAAAACTAGAAATTTAAGTATAGACTTGATGTATAGCTATAAATTAATATGACTTACCGTATAGTAAAATTAATAAAATCTGTTTTGTCTCTCTCAGCTTTCATAGTAATCGTCCAAGTAAAAGGTTTTGTATCTTTAAGAAGTATTCAGAAGATCTCAGGTAACTAGTTGATCTTTTAAATTTTTTTCTATTGAAAAGTTCTATGACTTAAATCGGCTATATAAAGCATTTTTATCAAGATACAGTTCATACATCATGCAATCCACGTGCTTAAGTTGTACAGTTAATAGTTTTTGGTATATTCACAGGGTTGTGCAGTCACCACAGTTAATTTTAGCTCATTTTTGTCACTTGAGGAAGACATCTGTACCCATTAGTGGTTATGTTTATTTCCTTCCAATTCCTTTTATCCTTAAGCAACTGCTAATATACTTTCTGTCTATATACATTTGCCTATTCTGGACATTTCATGTAAATGGAATGATAAAATATATGATCCTTTGTGTCTTCCATTTAGCATCTTTTCAAGAGTTACACATATTGATGTGTGTTATCAGTGCTTCTTTTTCTTATTGCTGAATAATATTCTGTCATATGTATATTATAGTTTGTTTATCCATTTAGGTTATTTTAACTTTTCAGCCATTATAAATACTGATGTTGTGAACATTTGTGTACTCATTTTTGTCTGGACATGTCTTTTCATTTTTCTTTAGTATGCATAGGATTAGAATTGCTGGGTTATATGGTAACTCTATGTCAAACTTTTGAGGAACTGCTAGCCTGTTTTACAAAGTACCTGATTAGTCTATATTCTGTCACTAAATTTGTTTCAGGGGTGACCAGTGGTGTCAAAATGAAGCTTTCATGTATTTGCACTGTAAAATGAGAACAAAAAGTAGGGCTTTCCAATAATATTTGAATAGTGAAAAGAGGCCTAAAATATGCAGTAAAGTAACACTTTTTCAGTTTTGAAGTAAATTTCTTAAGCCACTGAAATTCTTGAAATTAGTACATAGTCATTTTAAATTTTACTTTTCAGATTAAGGAAAGTATGCTACTTGCTTACTGTGCAGAAAGAACTGTTAGTGAATATTTTTAAAAACATTGGTTTTACCACATGCTTAATTCAGAATCCACTGAGCACCGTGTTTTTCACATTCTTCTGCGTTGTTTAGAACCCACTGCTCTTTATTATTTTGTCTATGTAGCCATTGCTACTTGACCTATCAGTATCTTTGCTGCACCAAGCTAATATATATAGATATGGTTAACCAGTACTTGTTTTGATATGTTGGGTTAGTGGAAAATCTGGAAGAGAGGATGATACTGTGTCTCAGAGCCTTTGTACTTACTATTCTGTGACTAGTTTGCTCTTCCCCAGACTTCTGTATGTTTAGCTCCTTTATCGCTTTTGAGTCTTCTGTTGTATCCTCTCTCCTATGCTTTACGCTAGTGTCTTTTATCTCCCCTTTATGGATCATTTTTGTCTGGATTATCTTTCATCATCTCATATACTGTATACTTTATTTTCTGTGTCCTCTCGCTAGAATGTGTGTGGTTTGGATTTTTATTTATGTAAGGCATTGATAGTAATTAGGCACTTGGTAGATATTTGTTGAATAAATTAATGTATATATTTAAAATGACTTATATTTGGCAATAGGTCCCATCAATGATTTTGGACCAGTGGTTCATAGGGAGAGGAAAATTTGATTCAGTTTTAAACAATATATTAGTACCAATTTAAAACATTTACTAACTTTAAGGCAGTAGATTAAGTCATATTAGGTGTTGCCTATATTGAAAATTCTTATAAGAATGAAGAGTTTTATTACATTCAGAAGAGGTTTTGTTTGATTTTTACCTCACTGTTGTTAAGCTCCATTGTGTGTTTGGTTTTTAAAAAATGACTTACATGATTTTAAAGCTCTGGGATGTTTTCTCTCAACTTGAATAGGTCTCAGGTTGAAAATTTGCCAATTTCTGTGAATGAAACATATAAACTTATAACTACATAGAACAGTAATTTTTGTAATTATTCTTTTATTGGAATATTCGTTTTTTAGATCTTTACTACATATTAGGTCTGTAATATAGCAGGCTCTATAAAGATAATAGTAATAATGAGGAAGTCTTGGAACCAACCTTCAGAGAAGGTTGGGAGATAAGAGGTGAATGTAAATAACCACAATAAATCAAGAGGGAATTTAATAAATGCACTGAGGGTTACTTTTTTCAAAGAGGAATGAGATTACTTTACTTGGAATGATTTACATAGGTGTTAATTTACTTGGTTTTCAAGGATGAGTACTATTTATACTGATAGAAGAGTTTGATAAAGTTCATTTAAGCTGAACAGACTAAATTTTATTAGTTTCATTTGTACTTCAATTACTTTTAAACAGTTTAACATAATTTAACATAATTTATATGTTAAATCTTATTTGATTTTCTTTTAAATAGTTCTTCAGATGCTTGATCCACAAACTCCCAAGTGCTTAACTCTAACTAACATAATAAACAGTGGTTTTCTAAGTTCTCTGAAAGATTCACATATTTTTGCAGGCTTAGTAATATTTTAAACTAAAATGTTTAAGCACATTTTAAATTAGAGTCTTAATTTTACATACTATAATATGAAATTATGTTTAAATACTTCAAATAGCAAATGCTCCACAGTTTGATTCAGTAACTGTAAAAACTATTCCTTAATTCAACAAAAAGTATTAAGTATTGATGACTATGGGAATTGTTTCCTAACCTTTTTGAAAATTTATAATCACTACATATTTCCTTTAAGAATATGCAGGACAGAAAAAGAGACACAGATGTATATAACAGACTTTTGGACTCTGTGGGAGAAGGCCAGGGTGGGATGATCTGAGAGAATAGCATTGAAACATGTATATTATCAAGTGTGAAACAGATCGCTAGCCCAGGTTGGATGCATGAGACAAGTGCTCAGGGCTGGTGCACTAGGAAGACCCAGAGGGATAGGATGGGGAGGGAGGTGGGAGCGGGGATCAGGATGGGAAACACATGTAAATCCATGGCTGATTCATGTCAATGTATGGCAAAAACCACTACAATATTGTAAAGTAATTAGCCTCCAACTAATAAAAATAAATGAAAAAAAAAAGGAAGAAGAAAGGAGGGAAAAAAAAAAAAAAGAACTATGTTACCCAGTGAAGTTTTGTTAAGGGAACCAGTAGTTTAGGTTCAAGCAAGTGGGCCAGTTGACATTACTGGGATGCTGAAGAACTCAGACTTTGAACTTTAGTAGTGACTTAGCCCTTCAGTTAATTAAGTGTTACATGAGAATCATACCAACCTTGGATGCTTGTGGTGAGAATAAATATTGTATAGGAAAACCTCACTCCAGTATTCTTGATGGGGAAATTCCATGGACAGAGAAGTTTGGTGGGCTATAGTCCATGGACTCACAAAGAGTCAGACATGACTTGGCAACTAAACAGCAACAGCATGCAATGGTAGCATCTACAACATTATGTATTTTTAGAATCTTCTCATTTCTAATTTTTTCCTCTCCTAGGTAAATGTTCCACTAGAGACAAACCGTATTTTTTAGTCATCATTATATTCACAATACAATATACTAGTAGTATAGTATGTGTAATGCAACCTTAGTAAATATATATTGACTTGTATACATATTGTACATTTATATATACTATACTTTTGTTTTGAAGACGGGCATGGGCTTCCCTGGTGTTTTAGATGGTAAAAAATATGTTTGCTAATGCAGGAAACTGGGATTCAATCCCTGGGTCAGAAAGAACCCCTAGAGAAGGAAGTGGCAACCTACTCCAGTATTCATTCTTGCCTGGAGCATTCCTTGGACAGAGAAGCCTGATGGGCTGCAGTCCATGGGGTTGCAAAGGGTTGGACATGACTGAGCAACTAACACACATGTAGGCACAGATAGATTGTGACTTGTCAGAGTGACACATGTTGTTAGTGCAACCAAGACTAGATTGTAGGTCTTGACTTTTTAGCTATTAGTAACTGATATGAGGGAGAAAAGTTTATAAAACAAAAATACTTTCTGTCAGTAAATGGTAGTATAATTTGAATATGAAAAGTGACAAACACTTTCATGCCATTTTCTAAAGAATTATTTCAGTTCTATCAGGTTTATATAACAAAAATTGGAATGATAGTTAGGACACAAAGAGCAAATCATGAAAAACTATTCATTGAACTGGTATGTGGGCTTTCATAAAAGATAAAAATGTTTTCTTTTATACTATTTGCTTTGTTTTTTTAGGGGCATTACTCTAGTGTGCCTTAATTGTGATTTCCTAACTGATGTTTCTGGCTTAGATAATATGGCTACACACTTAAGTCAACATGAAACTCATACTTGTCAAGTTGTAATAGAGAAAGGTACGTATATATAATTGTGTTACTTCAGATTTTTGCTATTTATTCTAGTATTTTTGGTCAGCCACAGTATGTTCTCTTTACTAAATCGTTTTTCTCACTCATCATATTTCATATGCTGTTTTAAATATAAAACTTTTCTTCTAATTTCAGTTTCTGTTTGTATCCCAACTTCTGAACATCTTTCTGAGTAAGTTTAATTTTTATTCAGTGCATTTTACTTTGATGGATTTTAGCACTACTGCATTTTTAAATGTATCATTAATAGAAATGAAAAATATTAAAGTTTTTTTTTTTTTTTTAAAGCTGCTTGTTGAAATAGGTTCCTGCTCTTTGGAGCTCGTGACCTGGTGCAAGACAAGTTGGAATTTCCTAAGTTCAAAGTTCTGAGATGTTTTCTTACACAAAGGCAGTTAAGCAGCCAAGTTCATGACATTAGCTCTCATTATTCAGCTCTTTTCAGCTTCAAATGGGACTAGGTTCTTATTCCACCTTATCTTTGTGTCAGGTTGACATATCTTAACATTCATTTTTTCTTTTTTTCTCCAGTTGGCTCTCTCCAAAAATAACTTTTGTTGCTTTGGTCATTTCTTACTTTGCTTAAAATAATTTGTGTTTTTCTCTGCTGTACTTGCCTTCAGAATAATATGTTCCAAAAGATATGGCTGTCTGTCTTTTTGTCTGTTTTGTCTGCTTTCGTAATTTCTTATAAATCTTTAAGTTTTTAGGCCGGACGATTGTCTTTTCCTCATTCGTTGTCTGTCATTGTGCTATTTTTCTTATTTTTCAGATGGAGAAGCAGCCCAGAGATTTCAAAAAATGTCCAGGGTACACCTGGACAGTGTTCCCCTTCGATGAACACAACTGATGCCTGTTCTCTCTTTCCAAGGAATGTGACTAATTTGACTGTGGGGCCTGCTCTAGGTTGTGGTCTCAGGAAATCCGATCTTGGGAAGACTCCCTTCCTTCATGGCTGGCCTTCCATAAGGCTGATGCTGATATAGCCAGTGATGGTCTCAAGGCCCACCAGTTGAGCATAGCTTCCCACTGGGGGCTTTGGCTCATGATCTTAAGCATGTGAGTCACTTCTGGCCAAAAAAATAAAATCTGTGCTTCAACGTCCTGGTTGAAGTTTAGTCATTTTGGCTGCTGCCCTTTAATCTTCCTGTAGCATGACTACATCCAAGGAATACAAAAGCTCTGGATATTAGGAAATGCTTATTTTCATGTCCTTGGAATAACAGGTCTCTACAATTATGTTCCAGAATTTTACTTGCTTTTACTGTTATTTAAAATATATTACCCAGGAGTAAGTTTATAGTTTTTCAGCAATATCAATTGACAAATTTTTTATTTTAAAAAATTATTTTGATTTTAGTAGATTGGTTTTATGTTCTCCAAATTTATTGATGTCTATTTTTATATTCTTTTCTTTAAAAATGTTGTTCAGTGTTTGCTTTGTTTTGTTAAGAACTTCAAAATATCCCCTAGAATTCTCTACAGATTTCCTATAGCTGCTTATTTATAGCTTTTTAACTTAATTTGGATGTTGTTCAGACCATTAGACATTATAATATGTTCTTCCTTATTTCAGGATTATTATTATTATTAATATTGTCTTAATAATTGTGAATTCTAAGGTATAAAGAATTGACAACACCTCTTCTTGCAGACCTTAAAACAAGTTTTAAAGTTACATATTTGTACATCTAATACATAATATCTACTTAGCCATTTTAATAGTTCATCTGGTAATGTTAACATTAAAAACTATGGAGGCCAATAATGCATTTGTTTCTATCATATATAAAATGTATTTCCACATAAATATATTTCAAAAATTTGACTTTTGTTTATTTTACTTACATGGACTATAGCTCTAATGAACAGTTTTGATGGTATTATTTTCTTTTAATAAAAATTATATTGTTTAAGTGCCTCAGGAATTATTTACTAATAAAGGATTTCATATAAAAGGTATAGATTTAATCATATAAATAGGAGCATTGCTTTTATTGATTCATGGAAGTCCTATCATTTGGCCTGCACACTGAGAGCTATATCTACTTAGTGAATCTTGCATTTTTTTCCCCTGGCACAACTGAAAGATCATTTCTTTATATTATACTAGTTTACTGAATTTTAATGACATGCAAAGTACCTTTTATGATCTTATTTGTCATAAGGGTCAGGCAGGTTCTGAAAATGTGACTCAATCATATTTTTTACTGTAAAATCAGAACTTCTTCAGTTTTATTTTGAAACAGATTTGAAGCCAATTTAGATGACTACTTATTATGTAATGTGCTTCTTGCTATTAATGATAGAAAATTTGAACCCATTAATTTAAAATTTCCAAACTAATTTCTACTGTAAATGAATAATTTTTCAAAAGCTCTGAAAATGGCTTATCTCTAAGTAGGTGGATTTGGGGTTAATGCTAGTCTTTGTTTCCTTATTTGTCTCTAGGAGGTTTTGTCATTTCACCCTCTATTCTACCCAGTTTTTTAAAAAAATTTTAAATTTTGCCCAGAAACAACTTCTTTACATTTTTAACCCAAGTTCCTTTTTCATTTATGGATATTTGCTCTACCTTGGCTATAGTTAAAAAAAAATATGAGAAATTGTATTCTTGGTATAATGATGTAGGAGTACTGCTTTGTGTTCTTCCATAGGGCTGTATCTTATAATATCAGGTTCATTTTCTTCAAGTTTAAATTCTTAAAGTTCTGTCACCTATAACTTCGTTTAAAAAAAATGATTCAAATAAAACACCTTAGGCAGTTAGTACAAAAACGTGTTTATTATAGGCAGTTGGTTGAATTTTAATTTTGTGCCAACAAATTTTGTCTTGAGCCTAATCCCGCCTTGCTATCAGGTTATTCTGACTATTTTATTCACCTGATCAGAAATTACCTTTGCATGCATGTGTGCTTTTGCTTACCATTGAATAAAAAGTGAGATTGGCTCAGGGTAAGTCCATTGCTATTTTGAGACCCTCAGTTACCCTGTTTGTAAAATATGAGTGCTGATTGTTCCAGAGTTGTGAGATTCTGTTGTTCAATATTGGTTATTCTTACATTCCATTATTTGTTCTTATGATGAGATGAATTTAGAATGCTACTATGTATCCTTATCCCCATTAGCAGAAATAGGGACTCTTTGACCTTGAGAAAATTAAATGTTCATGTTATTCCTTAGCACATTTAACTCCTTCATGTACTCTTATAAAAAAAGTAGTTTCTCTTATACTTCTATTAAAGAAGGTAACTAGGTCAGTTTTTCCCAAGTTCTGTACTGTAGAAGTAATGTCCATAATTTATTAAGTTGGCGGGAAAGTTTCCATGGTCAAATAAATTTAAGCAATGCAAGTTAAAGTTAAACTGATTCTTTGACATGGAATTTTTCATGCTGTATGGGGCTTGTGAATGTCTAAAGTGAAAAAATGAAGTGAAAGTGTTAGTTGGTCATTCATGTCTGACTCTTTGTTACTCCATGAACTGTAGCCTTCCAGGCTCTTCTGTCCATGGAATTCTCCAGGCAGTAGTACAGGGTTGCCAATTCCTCCTCCAGGGGATCTTCTCAACCCAGGGATCGAACCCAGGTCTCCTGCACTGTGGGCAGATTCTTTACTGTCTGAGCTACCAGTGAAGCCCCCTAAGAGAATATTTATTTGACCTTAGAATTTTTTTCTTTGAATAATTATGAATTTCTTAATCTCCTTGGACTAGTGTGTGGAATACTGATCTGGAGTCCTTCAGATTTTATGAGCTGGGAAATAAAAAGCAGCTTTGTAGGTTGTTGCCCAAGATGGGTTTCTAGACATTTCACTTAGGCTGTGAATCATTTGTAAGATAAGAGTTTGTAAATAGATGCTCAGTTCAGTTCAGTCGCTCAGTTGTGTCCAACTCTTTGCGACTCCTTGAATCGCAGCACGCCAGGCCTCCCTATCTATCACCAACTCCCGGAGTTTACTCAAACCCATGTCCATCGAGTCGGTGAAGCCATCCAGCCATCTCATCCTCTGTCATCTCCTTCTCCTCCTGCCCCCATTCCCTCCCAGCATCAGGGTCTTTTCCAATGAGTCAACTCTTCGCATGACTAGCAATGTACATTTTCATATTTTTAGAAATTATATCAGAAAAATGATAACCTCCTTATTATGTTTGTAATCTCTATTAACTGTGTAACAGAGATAGACCAGTTAATAGTTTATTCTGCCTCTGATTACAACAGTAAGGGATTTTTTTTGTTGGAGAGTATGGTTACTTTACATGATTTAACTCTTAAGAAGCTTAAGAATCTCTCACTTATTTCTGGCTTCTTTCTGTAACTCTTTATGCTTAGCTTATCAGTCTACCCACTCACCTACTTTTCTTGAGACTTATTTTCAGCCTTTTATTATCTGTTAAGGAGTTTCCTATATAGTAAAGTTTTACTTCCTATTTAAACAGCCTCAGGAGGTCTTCTTTGACACTAAGATTATATGATTTGAAACCCAGCTTCATTTTAAACCCTCTCAGACCCTTAAAGGTACAGTGTGGTATAGTGAGCACAGGCTCTGCAGTTGGTTGCCTAGTTTGGAGTTCCTACCCTGCTGTTTATCAGAACATATGTGACTTGGGGTAGGTTACAGATTCCTGTGCCTCATTCCCCATTTGTAAAATGCATGTAAACAACTACCTGTTCATAAACTGTAGAGGGAATTAAATGAGTTAATATACGTATATGGTATTTAGAAAGTGATTGGCACATAGGAAGCAGCACTATGTAAGTGTAAATTTATATTCTTATTCTTACTACTTTGCATGATTTCACCTCTGCCTGCGTTTTATTCATATAGAAGTATCCTAATCTTCAGCCTGCTTTTCATTCTAGCTTCTCATACTGTTTTCACAAATCATTTATGTTAAGTGTACCTAACCCAGTAAATATTTCTTAAGAGCCAATCATCTGAAGCATGTATTAGTTATAACATTAGATTTTTAGTGTCTAAAGGTCAATAAACTTGCTTTTTTTAAGGAATGGATATGAATGCTCCTAGGTTCACCTGTCTTAGTTTCCCCTAACTTATACTGGTTTACACTATATAGTTCATTTCATATTTTCAGCCTGCCTCTCTGGTTTTGAGATCTTTGTAGAGCCTCACTCTAATCACTTCGGTGCTTACCCACCTGAAAGAGCTTACCT